TCCTTTTTCAAAATTTTTCATCCCCGACCTTTATTTTTAGTCCTAAACCCTAAACTCGTTTTAAAATTTCTCTAAACGTTTATGAACTGGCCTCCTTTTTTAGGAACTGGAGTAAGGAAAGCCAAACCCGTCCCATTTTAATGACTAGTGTTGTTGTAGAATTTTTTGTATTTCCTTCTGGGATATACAAATCTAGCATTTTTAGTAAAAGTTTTAAAAATAAAGTTTTCCCAACCAGAAGATGGTTGTATTTCTATGCTAGATTGATAATTTTACCTTTTTTTTTTTTTTTTTTTAAATATGGAAAATTTCTGTAAAGAATAGCTTCTGAAAATCTTATGGGAATTTTTGGGTTTAAGGGGTTAGAGCATCGATCCTTCCTAGCTATCTACTTTCATAATACTTTTTAATATATATTTTAATGTAAAATTTTTGAATATTTCTTTTTTGGTTTTGGAAACAACTCTCACAAAATTTAAAATTAACCTCACCTGTTCAAGTGTACTATCAGGAGAAAAGCTAATGGAACTCTTTTCTTAACATTTTTATTATTATAAATTATAAATTATAAATTTTAATAGATTTTAATTATTACTAAATTAACAGAGAACTTATTGAATGAAATGCAAAATTTATAATTTTTAATAAATTTCAATCTATATAATAATAAAAAACTATAAAAAGAGTGTTGCTAATATTCATTGTATTAGCATATGCATACATAAAAGAACAAAATCATTAAGAGGTTCCCATTGCAAGTGGTGAGTGGATCGGATATATATGGATCACTCTATATATATTCTCAACTTATCCATGACCTTATGTTGTGCATTACATTTACATATCAACAGGCTTTCGGTCATGCCGCCATTATATTCTGTTTTCTAATAGAAAAAGCACAAGATGACCTTGCTTGACTTGTGTATACAAAAAAAAAAAATTATTTACTTTAACTGTTAACTGCTATAACGGATTCCAAATGATTGTTCTTTTGAAATTTACACAAAATTGCTTTGTGCACACTCCTATTGGGTATGCACCGACTTAACCCGAAAGTAAAGATAAGCTCATAAGCATCAAGCTTTATGCTGTAAATGGTGTAGATATAGGTATTCCCGCATATATAATACGTTATTGGAAAGAGAGAATAATTTTTAAGTTTGAATAAATTTTGAACCAAAGATTAATTTTTAACCCACTCAAAAAATCGAAATTTGTAGAAATACTTTTGAGGTTTCACCAAATAGCCAACGATCTTACTAATAGTGGTTAAAAAAAAGGCTATAGATATAGGAGCTTATATAGGTATATACCCTACATAAGTCATAAAATTACTAGACTGACTATATAAATAAAGGGTACATTCTTGCAAATAACATCAAATCAAGATAATGTCACGGATGTAGAGTTGGATATATATAGATTCCAAATATGCTAATTAAGATAACATATTCCAATAAATTACCAGGGATTTTGCAATTGGTCGGTTGGAACTTTTATGAAACTTGAAATAATTAAGGTTTACTAGCTTAGTAGAGAATCATGGCATCTCTGGTCACATGAAAATTGAATCATATTAGGTGTCATGACGTACGTAAGCTAAATATTTGTGATCAATTCTTTAATTGGATGCTGCGCCATAATTAATCTCACTACAACTATTCGAGTATGAGATAAGGTGCACCAGGTTAAAAGTGCTTTAATTTTAGAGGAATTAAATTTCTTTGTAGCTTATCCAAAAAAGATATAATTTTTTAATAAAATATTAAACAATAAACAGAGAGAAGTGTGTGAAAAAATGATTGTTGCGAAGGAAAAATATTATAAAAAGTTTATTATATGAATAATGTAAACACTAACAAAATTTAGTATTATCAATAATAATTTAATGATAATAAATTAATTATTTCTATTTTATTATTTAATAAAAATATTAATAACTATTATATAATGATCACTAAAAATGTATTTATATCACATTAAAATTTATTATTAGTGACAATTATTTGTTAGAAAAAAATTTAAATCCCACGTCGACTAGAAATAAAATAATTAAAAATTATATAAGTGAATGATAACTCTCACCTTACAAGTATGTTTTATAAGGTTGAGTTAAGCATATAACTTACTATTTTAAGTTGGAATTTAGGAGATAAGATAATTAAAAAAATTAAAAAATATATGCTTAGAAGATAACTTTCATTTTCTAAGTCTCACGTCAATTAAAAATAAGGTAACTAAAGATTATTTGTACTCATCTTACAAATCCTACATCGACTAGAAATAAGATAATTAAAGAGTATTATAAATCTTTTCTTAAACTTTTAGTGAAAATTTTAAATGCCAGTAAATGACACAAAAAAGTTATACACTTTTTCCCACCATTATGAGGGTCTTTACCAGCATATAGAATAATTGCCGGTAAATGTTTTAGCGACACTGCATACAATGACTAATGTGTGAAATGCCGGTAGTAGCAATTTTTATTGCTACTAAAAGTCATATTAAATGCCACTAAAAATTCATTTTATTGTAGTGAAAACTTGTTTTTAAGATCTTTTTCAATTATATATATTTTTAGTTAAAACTCTAATTTGATCCCCTATAATATTTTAAAGTTTCAATTTAATCTTAATTTAATTTTTGGGTTCAATTTAGTCTCACCTATTAAAAATATTAGCAATGTTTGTCTCCCATCTAAACTTCTCAAACGCCGTTTAGAAGTATCTATGTGATTGAGAATCATAGACATGATTAAGAATCACGGGCAAGATTCTCACGACTTTTACTTAGCAGATTCTGTTATGTGATTTATACCGTAGGAATCATAGGTGTGATTAAAAATTACGGGCGTGATTCTCACGGCTCTTTAACGGCATTTGAAAAATTTAGACGGAAGACAAACATTGTTAGTATTTTTGATAGGTGGGACTAAATTGAATCCAAAAATTAAAGTGAGACTAAATTAAAACTTTAAAATATTATAAGGGACCAAATTAGAGTTTTAGCCTATATTTTTTATACTAAATTTCACTTTTGATTTTACTTAATTTTTAATTTATAATTTATATCTTATTTTCAATTTCATAATTTTAGTTTCTCAATTTTTAAAAATATCCGAATTTCCACTTAACCGTCAAATCTACATATGTTGATTATTTAAATTCAGAAAAAAAAATGTTCATATAAAAAGTAAGAATTCAGTCGTATTCCATAATATCAATTATTACACACACGCATATGACATAATAACTATTAATTTGAAGATAATGTATGATGCGTTGTTGGATGAAAATTACAAATTACAAAATTAAAATTATTTAAGTAAAAATGAAACTACAAATTACAAATTAAAAATTAAAGTGGAATTTAAATTTTTTAAAAAGTCAAACTATACCTCGTAACGCATAGAGGAGGGAGAATAGCGAGTGGCACTAGGTCCGGGAATTTAAAAGTGACTGACAAGTACACGTATGCTTGTGAGGTCAAATTAAGGACATTTCTCTCATGGATTCCAATACAGCAGGAAGCAAGGCATTTCGAGATATACATGAACATGTATAATAGTCTGCATGTAATTAAACTTAATTAATTTCTTTTCATATTATTATTATTATTAACCTACGCATTGTTATCACTTACCGGCGTAACATTCATTCTAAATATATATTCTAGGTCAGAAAGATTATCTTATTGAATTTGAATGTGCCTCATATATATAGAAGGGTCCAGGTCCCTTGTTCTCTACAAACAAAATTAGAAGGGAAAAAATGGAAGCTATAATTTGAACCTTAATTGAAAGAGAGAGAGAGAGAATATCTAAATGTTTAATTGATGAACTGGTTTGTCATTCTTGGATTGATCATTATACTGGAAATTAGGAAATGCTTTGAGGCCTGAAAATTAATTAACTATTTATACAGAATCATTCCGTGTAATAAAGAATGGTCACTTGTTCCTTTCTCTAATTAAAACCATACAAAGCACCAATTCACGACTCTATTAGTGGCCACGCACTGCACAATCTGATATTTTTGTACACAAGAATCATGTCCAACTATTCTTGAGTCTTAGTGAAGAAATCTTTCGGTGCTTTTATGGATGCTTGTCACATCTTTTCATTGTTTCATATATCTCTCAAGGGAAAATTCTAAAGAATTAGGTCAAAGTTCCTCTTCAGATTGTGATATTCCCCTTACAAGGCCATTATTTTCTTCCATAATAATAATTCACCCTTACAAGACTATTATTTTCACGTTTGGGATGCTTGCATCTTAAAATTACATTAGAGGTAATTCATCTAGTTTTACTTGTAGTTTATTTTGAACAATAAAATTATTCGTCAAAAATTTATAATTAACTCATTCTAATATTTCTCTCTTGGGAAATAAAAAATAAATAAATAGAATTACGTGTTTGATTTTTTTACACTGAAAATTCCTAAATAACATATAACAAGTTGATATCAGTAACTTCAATAATTCACTTGACATGAATACAAAGATGAAACAGAGAGGAAAAAAAAACATATGCCTTAAAGAGGAAAAGAGAGGATAATTTGGTAATTAAGAAAAGTTGAAAGAGAAAAGAATGACAATTTTATTGGTTAAACGTATAAAGAAAACGTTATTTGCTTTGATAACATTTCCTTCTTTGAATAGACTGAATATGACATGTAATTATTAAGATAAGGGATTAAATGATTAATGAAATATAGAAACTCTGAAGACTAAACCAAAATTTAACTATAAATAAAACCTACTAATGGTATAACTTTTTTTAGGGATTTTAATTAATCAGGCGGTTCTCTAAAAATAATACTATTAGATACTTTCAAACGCTACTACAAACTTATGGTTCTAATTAATTTCAACATAATACATAATTAAACTTTTTAATTTATAAAAAAATAATAACAACACTCAATTATATACAAATTATATTATATAAGACCATGGGTCCTGTTCATATAATAATTTGTCGTCAGAAAGGCTAGGGACAGTGGCTAGGCCCTCTTTATAATCAACTGTAGTTAGGAAAGGAACCGAACATAGCAGTATTCCCTCGCCCAACTTGTTATTTAAAACCTTGAATCCACTCCTTGTTGAAGCCAAGAAGCCTTCAGTGCTTACAGACATTAATAATGTCTAACATCCACACTGCAACCAACAACATGAAAAAGTTGTCAAGCTATTTGCATTCCCTATCCCAAACCCCTCACAGGCTCAGAAAAAGAATGCTGGCTACTTGGACCCCTGACGAGGAATTCAACCAAGTGAGGCACAGATCTGGGGCTGACATGAAGAGGAAGCTCAAGTGGTATGATCTTGTTGCTCTTGGTGTTGGAGGAATGCTTGGTGTTGGAGTCTTTGTCACTACTGGCTCTGTTGCCCTTCATCACTCTGGTCCTTCAGTCTTCATTTCCTACATCATAGCAGGAGTTTCAGCCCTTCTCTCCTCTCTTTGTTACACTGAATTTGCTGTTCAAGTTCCAGTTGCTGGAGGAGCTTTCAGCTATTTAAGATTAACGTTTGGTACAAAACCTTTTCTCCCTTCTATATGTTCCATTTGCTTTTAGTTTACCACAGGAAAGATTACAACCACCACAATAATCAGGGTTGAACCTGTATATTGTAAACTTATACCTATATTACTATATATGCCTTTTGAATTAATTTACTCTTCTTGGTAATTATATATGTGTGATGTGTAGGAGAATTCTTGGGATATTTTGCTGGGGCAAATATACTAATGGAGTATGTGTTCTCAAACGCTGCCGTGGCAAGGAGCTTTACAGAATATTTGAGCATTGCGTTTGGAGAAAGTGATCCAAATGTGTGGAGAGTGGAAGTTCATGGATTGCCAAAGGATTATAACATGTTGGATTTTCCAGCTGTGGTTCTCATTCTTCTTCTCACTCTCTGCTTGTGTCATAGGTTTGATTGATTTAATCGTTACTAGTTCTGTTTTTTTTTTTTTTTTCCTTCTGTGTGGAATATTTGGTTTTAGCTATGATGCTGCTATCTACTTATTTATCAGTTTAGTCATCCATTTTGTATTGGATAAATATTTTAATATATTATCCTGTTGTGGTGACAACTAACAAACTATTTTATTACCTATTTTGCATTTTTCTTTTAATCATAATGCTGAACCATTAGTTTTTTTTTTACTATTTTTTAAATGTTCGTCTGAGTGTAGTGGATTTTGAGAAACTACTTGTTTTACTCTCCTTTTTTATTATTATTTTTTGGTTGATTGCAGTACAAAGGAAAGCTCCGTGTTGAACCTCATTATGACAGCCTTCCATGTGATTTTCTTTGGATTCATCATAATCGCTGGTTATTGCAATGGAAGTGCCAAAAACTTGGTTAATCCAAAAGGACTAGCTCCTTTTGGTGTTAGAGGTGTTCTTGATGGAGCAGCAATAGTCTACTTCAGTTATATAGGCTATGACTCAGCTTCAACCATGGCTGAGGAGGTCAAAGACCCTTTTAAAAGCCTACCCATTGGAATTGTGGGTTCAGTTCTTATAACCACATTGCTTTATTGCCTAATGGCTGTGTCTTTGTGCATGATGGTTCCTTACAACAAGGTTAGTAGTATATCAAACAATTAGAGTCATATAATAGATATCATATAATATAATATAATATATATAGTGTGTTAGTGATAAAGCTTATTAATTATTCCTATGGTTTAATATATATAGATATCAGAGAAAGCTTCATATTCAATGGCTTTTCTGAAAATTGGTTGGAGTTGGGCAAGCAACTTTGTTGGGGTAGGTGCAAGTTTGGGAATAGTGGCTTCTCTCTTGGTTGCCATGTTAGGCCAAGCAAGATACCTTTGTGTTATAGGAAGGGCAAGGTTGGTGCCATCTTGGTTAGCCAAAGTGCATCCTTCAACAGGCACCCCATTGAATGCCACAGTCTTTTTGGGTAAGCAAATTCGTTTATGTCTTAATTAACAAAAATGAAAGAAGCTAGATCAAGCCATGGCCATTTGAACATTTGTCTGTTTTCTCTAACTAGAAGAATCGTTGACATTTCAACATGCATGCACTTTTCTTATAAATGCAATTGTACTCACACACCTGATCAGGATACGGAAAACTCAAACTGATCACTTTTGATTTTCATGCATATAATGAGTAGTAATACGGAAAATGACTCGGTAGTATTCTGCAATAACATATAGTTGTAATTTGGGTTAGTTAAGTTAAGGCCTTTCTTTAATGAATAATCATTTTTAAAATTTCTGGTTCAATCTAATAACCGCAAATATACTTTAATGACTTTTAACGTATATCTTAATTAATATGCTACATGTGAGTGTGACTTTGTTACTCGTCCTTTGTTATACTCGTCCTCACTGCCCAGTGCCTAACATAGTTCTCTCTCATTAACAATATATAAATTTTAGTTAGACGGGCTTTGTCATTTCAATAAAGTAATTATTTTTACTTTAGTTATTTGTTTTGATAAACAAAAGAATTTTCTTAATGAAGAATGCATTTGATTTAAGCACAAAAGGTGCCCAAAGAATTTAACTTTAATTTATAATTAAAACATTGTTTTAGTCTTTCTCCCTACATTAATTGCTTTAGAAATGGAGGGCTATGTATTCGGTTCTTAATAATATATATAACTTTATTCCACAGCATATATATATATAT